TTTTCTTGGATGAACTATCTGTTTCTCATATTCTTTACAAATATAATTTTTCTTATTCTCCTTTCTGTTATTATTGCAATCAAACTAGTTCTTTATTACACTAAACTTTTTGTCCTTCTACTTAAACAATTTATTATTTAATTTTTAATTTTTTTAATTGCATCTTAAATACAACTGCTTTTGATATGTCTACTAATTTTGTTTCTAATTTAGATCAAGAAATTCTTATACTTAATAGATTTAAACTGCACAACTTTTCTTATATACTATCACTTATTTTTATTTTATCTGGTTTAGTTTCTATTGATCTTATTTCTATTATTTATAATACTTTTATTTCTTATCATATTACTACTTTTCTTTCTATTAAATTTTTTCTTCATTTAAACTAACAAATATATAAATAAATATAGATTCTATATTGTATTTTATATTCTGTATAGTCTCAAATTACAGTTTTCACTAACTTAACTCATAGTCATTTTTCTAGTTTACCTTTATCTTCTATTTCAATACTATAAATTATTACTAAAATTGATCTTTGGACTATTTAATAGATTAAATATTATACTTTTCTCTAATATATTATTACTAATATTCAAGTCTTGGTCACTCTTATAAGTTTAAATTATAGATTATATGTTTGAGTCTTTATTTTTTATATGTAATTTAAAAGCAAGCTTTTTTTTATAAAAACTTGAATTGAATTTCAATAAAGTTAAAGATATAGTCTCATTATTAATATTAAAAATATAAAAAATTAATTAAAATATTTCTTATATTATTAACTAGAATGTTAATTACTTAGATACTACTTTTTTTTACTTTTTTATAAAAACAAAAAACACAACTCTTTAATATTAAAAAAATTTTAATTTTTTTATCAAATTAATCTTAAAAGATATAAAAAATTACAATGTTATTCTAATTAATAAATACAACAGAGATCAAATACACCAAAAACTCAAAATTAAACTTAACTTAGATTATATTTATAGTATAAATTTTTTATAAATAAGATAAAAAAAATATATTATATTAATTTCTTTAATTAGAAAAAATATAATTAAACTTATATATTATAACAATATTAATTATATATTATACAAATTCAATAATCTAGAATTTTTAAATAAAATTATTAAACCTATATGTGCTTATACCTATAGAATATTATTTATTAACTTAATTTATATCTTAATATATGTCTACTAATTAGTTAAATAATTAGAAAATTTAATATCTAATTAATTCTCTAGATTAAGCACAATATTTTCTTAAATTTTATTCTAATATTATAAATCTAAATAAATCTTGATTACTGAGTATGGTAATTTAGCAAAATGATCAGGTTGTTAACTCTTCAAGTGATAAATTAGGTATTTAAATTCTATTAACAGTGAAAATTTAAATAGTAATCTATATAATATTTATATTATAGCAACTGTTACTAATGATTGGGTTAGAATATCTGTAATAGTAGTTATACTAACATAATTGGCAGATCATGAAGTATTTGTATAATATTGAAATTATACAAAAGAATATAAACTAACAAATTAGACAGACAAACACTAAAAAAATCCTTGTGACCATATAAATCTGTTGAAATTAGGTAACAAGAAGTTTATTTGAAAAGACTTGAATAGAGAGGTAGCTGAATCTTTGACAACTTTACTGTAAGGCTAATTTAGGAAAACAAATACTAAGATCATAATACTTGGTTGTAGTAACCAAACAGGTAAGAACCTTCAGGTTGGAAGTCTTAGAAATACTACCAACTAGGCTACCAGAATGAACTAAAGAAAAAGAATATTAGGCCAATTTGATATATTGATGAACTGGTTATAATCTTATACAAACTATTTGGATTGAAAGTTTGGTAAAAAAACAAGTAAAAAAGTAGGAATATACTAAAATACTGGTGTTATGTTATGAAGTAGATATTGAGATCTGAATAAACTCTACAAAAACATAATGGTTTAATGGTTAAATCCTGACTACAAGTGTTGGTTCTGCTATAGCAATACCTAGATTAACTGTAAAAATAAATACAGAAAACTCTGGAAGATTTAGTTTAAAAATAAAATAATCCTAAGGTTAAGATGATGATCTGAACATCAGATATGACCCAGTGAAGTTAACAAGTTTGCAGGTTCAGAGAGTTTAAAGTAAAATACCCAAGTAATGATATTAGGTACAGCAATTGGTAGGAACCTTTGAGCAGACTTCTTAAATAGGTAATATAGAAAACTTACATGTGTAACCAATTGTATGCTCTTCCTGTAATGGTTCACTAAACCACATTTACCATTGTTAAATAAAGTCAAAAGACCCAAGAGGTCATCTTAACACCAAAAAAAAAATAAAAAATAAATCTTGATTACTATAATCAATTTAAATTACAAATAATTTTTGTTTGTAATATAAAATCTTAGTTTACTTTGACATTTTTGTACTAAAGTATATAGTTAAAATATATAAACAAGACTTCACCTTAACATTAAAAAAGAATAGAACTCAAATCAATATCAAATTGAAACTAAAAATATAATTGTCTTTTGAAATTGTTGTTTAGGCTTTTATGTTCTAAAAGTTCATAATAAATATGATCCATAATACTTGTAAAATTAATAGTATTTTTCTTTTCATTCATATAATCATTAGTTTCTTGTCATTTTTACTTTTTAGCTTGTGAAGTATAATTACAACAGGCTTTACAACAAGTTCTGGTATCATTTTTGCCAACAAGAAAATCTTCAAGTGGTCGTGAACAGTGACGTCTAGTGCAGACTTAGAATCTTTTCCATTTTTTGCTATAAAAGTAACTTTATCATTATCCTTTATGAAGTAATAAAATAGAAAACCACTAACGATAATATTTTATCAACGTTATATGATAAGGTCGGAAGATCGAAAATCATGTGACTGCGCCCTCGATTGTCGGTTACGTTGGATTGTCCTCTACCCCATTTTTTTTAAATGTCAGATTAGCAGAAATAACTTTGCCAAAAATATCTCATTGCGCTAATTAAGAGAGGATGGTAATTGTTTACGATATATTACGTATTTTTTTTAATTCTGAAACATCTATTATTAGATTATCGATCACCTTATACTATCGACCTTCATAAACAGTTAAAAATAATTTCCCGGCAAATTCATTCACTAGTATTAAAATTTACTAAAATAAGAAATCTTTACATAAATGATTTAATATGTCCTCTTTAAGCACAATTTCTTTTTAAAATATAACCATTTGAGGTTTCAAATTTAACAAGAAATGGAGTATTTTGTGAGGTAGAATTTTTTTAATATTGAATTTGCTACATTAAATCATAAATCGGAAAAATGAAATCAGAATTTTTATTTTAAACTCTGAAACCTTATTATATATATTAATACTTCCCTATTTTAAGAGCAAATAATACTGTATGTTATATTTTAGGGAATAACCGCATAAAATTGGTTCATAGTGCCGGCAGAATTATGTTTATCATGGGCCAAAATTATCTTAATTCCGGTTGAATTAAACGCTTAAATATCGATATTAATATGGTTAAACGATTAAACCAATTTTAGCTAATCCCTAATCTTCAATATTGCTATAAATAACTTTTTTTCAGGAGTAATGTTATAAATAAATCATTCAAGAATCTTATTACAGTATAATCAAGGAATTCGTAACGTCATCTATTTCAAATACCGCATCTGCTTGAGAAATACCTCATGCCAATGAAACGGGTATTCTTAATACCTATAAAAATTTTAAGTTCTCTCATATCGATATGGTCTGATTGCTATATAATAAGAAGGTTAAATTGTCAATAATCTCGTTGTTAACTTGTTTTGGCTAAAACAAGATCAAGTAAAGGTCTTTACAATAGGTATTGTTTTCTTAATGCAATATGACGCATGTATATCGTACGTATCGGGTATGTATTTTTTACGTACATAAATTTCGCATTTTAGATTGAACTGTTATAGACTAGATTTTTATAGAACCAAATCATAAGACCGCCGTAAATATATGATGATGCCTAATGTCCAATTTTATAATAAAAAACTTTGTTATAAATTTAAAGACTCGATTATCTATTAATATATTTGATCTCAATTTGATTGAACATCCCTAATTGAAGTAACAATAAGCTTAGGTCGACTTTAAAACGGACAAAAAAACTTGAATTAAATTAACCGACTAAAGTGTGCAGTTTTAACGTTCTCACTGATAGAGGAAAGGCCAGTCCGACCGACTTCAAAAGTTGAGCTTTTATTAAAGTTAGACCTAAGCCAGACTTGCGATTTGATTGCATTAGCACTTGCATCTCACATTAATACGTATGGCAAAAAAAAACATGTGATGCATGCAATATCTGCATTCAAAGTTGCGCCAATCAATGGCGCTTGGCTTTTAAAATCCCACAAACCTAGATCCGAAACTTTAGACAAGATTTCTCACATCCTACCTACTTATTATTGATTGTTGAATAAATTCATCAGTTCATAGACGGTTTTATTAGAAATAAATAGATGAAAAATAATATGCTTCCGACAATTCTATTATCCGAATAAATTACTTTTGAGAGTTGTTGTATAACGATAACAATAATGACTAATCGTGTGAGAACAGCTTAACCGTAATTGTGCCAAACCTTATTTCCAATTTATTTTTATCACGCCTTAATTATTAATATATTATATATTTATAATGCATATACGGATTCGTGTAAATGTATGGGTGTTACTTTGATTTACGACTCGAATTAAGTTAATTCGGGCCGTGATTCAAAGTAATGCCCATGCCTGCTATTTCGAGATTTTATGGTATGCACGTATAAAATCTCTAGGGGAATGACATATATACATTTCACATTTTTATAAATAGACCCAAATCTTAAAAACACAATTTCAACTAAACTCACATTTAATTCTAATTTTGAATAATTACAAAATACCCAATATTCAAATTATAAATCTTACATTTGCTTATAATCATTATGATTAGAAAGCATACTTATTTGACACCTTATGCAATTTTACTCATTTTTTATTTCTTAACTACGTCCTTGGCCATTCCTGCACCGATAACTGAACGTTCTCATCTATTGAAACGTGGTGAAAATGAAAAAAAATGCCCATGCACTTATATTCACAGCGAATTTGACGGTGTTTATAAAGGTGAAATAACCCTTATTCAAGAGGAGAACGGTGGTACTTCTATTTTCGGCCTTTTTTCAAAAGGATTTGAAGATGATGACGAATATACTTTCTACATACTAGATGACTATGGAAAACCTTTTCATGATATGACCAAATATTTAAATATTAAATTCGTTAATGGTGGTACAGAACCATTTTCAGCCAAAATTCCCGACCTAAATATCGATTGTGGCGATGATAACATCCTAAGCAAGCATGTTTCACTCGAAAAACGAGCATGTAAGGCCGGGGATAAAGTAGCAATAAATAAAAAGGGTTCTAATACAGGTCCTACTACTGGAAAACCTACTTGTTAATTTAATTAACGAATCTTTAAACTTGTAAATATTTTGAAAATATTTGAACTTTTTTTATTCAACTCGACGTTTTGTTATTAATTGGGTATTTCAAATATGTACTGTACGTTGATATATATCAGATATTACATAATTTTTCATATTAAAAATTTTATTCTCTGTCAAGTAACAGCAATAAAAATTAGTAATAGTTTAAATAATGTTGATTTGACCAGACCAATTCGACAAGACCAACTTGACCAATAAATTTTTGGTTGACCACTAGTTTTAACAAGACTGAGTTTTAATAATTTTAATAAACAAAATTCTTCATTTCAGTTCGTTTTAAACGTTGCAAAGTGTTAACTTTGAGTTCTTTACAATAAATAATAAATATTTTTAATTTTTTATAATTTTTAATTTCAGTTTCTTTTTTGAAGTTGATCAAAATATAAATATGTATACGATATAAATTACAAAGTTGGTATTCTATTGTTATATTTAAATTTGGTTATATTTAACCATACTAAATTATTATAGAAATATATTTAGTTTTTAATTTAATAACATTTATTTAATAGTTACAAATTACTTACAACAAAAAAATTTTTTGAATACAACAATATTGTTCTATTCACGAACAAAATCTTTTATTAACACAGATAGAACAATAAATTCTTTTTACAAGAAATCATTCAAAAAATCTTTGGTGTCTCGTTCACATGTAATTTAAAACTTTAGAAAATATTTAAAAGAAAGGTTACATACTGTATAACATCAAAGATTTTTGAATGAATACTCGTCGAAAAAGTTTATTGTTCTATCTGTGTAGCCAATCCAATATATAAATTATAACAACTGCCCAATTTTATTATTTATTTCATTAAGCATCTCCCTCATTTCTTTCATTTCTTTTTGTAAATTATTTACTTTATCATCAAGTTTTTCTTCGGTTTCCCCTTGAATTGCATTTAAAAGAATTGGTGAAATATATGGTTTTTTGACTAATTTCCTTTCATCAGTCTCAATTCCACGAATTTCATCTCGAAGTTCATTGAAATGAACAATATAATTGCTTTATAATTAAATTATCATCAATATAATATTATTATTAATATGATTATATTTATGAAAGATAATTAGTTATAAATTTACATACAAAGTTTCCGGAAACCATTCATATCTTCTTCTTTGATGAGGTAATAGATAAAATAATTCAATTTCAGCTAAAGCCTAAATTAAATATATTTCAAAGTTATTAACCCAAATTTTTAAAATAAAATGATTATACACTTTATATCGTACCTCTGCTTTTAATGTTAAAAAAGATTCTTTGTTGGTCGTTTCGTCAATTGCATTACCAAGTAATGTGATAAACAAATTCATTAAATAAACGGTCGTGAAAAATGAGAATAAAACCATTATTATAACTAATGGATAATTTTCACGTAAAACCCAAGATGAAAGGGGGGTTGAATCGCCTATTTTAAATTATTATATTAATTTACACAAATAGCACAAATCTTATATGCATATATATATATATAATGACTTACCTGTAAGCATTATATAAACTGCCAAAATTGATGAATCAAACCACATAAACATATTTGTATTTGCATCTGGTGGTTCAATAAGTGATGCATTTTCTTCAATAGAATTATTCGAAGTTATGAAATTATATGTGGTGGCCAAATTCCAAGGATCATTTGGATCAGATGAATAACTTGGATGAAGTATTGAAACTTTAGTTTCAGGTCGTAATAAAAGGTGTAAAGAGTGGGCAAATGCAAATACTATAAATGCCAATAGCACTAAAAATGAAAATGCACTTTCTGCAACTCCAATAATTGTAGCAAAATAAACTCCAACGAATGATGTAGATCTAAAATAAAGAAGGAATTTTATCTCAAGAAATAAAGTTGAATAGGTAATAGCCCAGGATGGAACACTGCCATTTTGTAACCATACGATCGATGTTATTGTAGAAAATAATATAGCACAAAGATCTTGAATAGAAAAGTATTAATGACTTAAAAATCGTTATTACTGTATAAATTAATTATTCAAATAAATAAAAAAAAAAGAGATTACCAAAATAGTTCCAAGTACTTGCGAAATATTCTAGTGGAGAATATATAAATTGACGAATTTCAAAAAATAAATGCCAGAATCCAAGAATAATGGCAATAAATAAGAAAAATAGCTGAGTGCCCCAAGACATTCTACTATATGAAGTTGCTACAATCGTAAAACTACAAAGAAAAATTGTGTATATTGCCCAGATTGTAAAATAATATTTTCTACCAAATGTATTCCATTTAAAGTTGATGAGTGCTTCGCCATTCCAGGTTTTATAAAGTCCTGAATTAATTGTTTCTGTAAAAACGCTAGGTTTCGGTCTTATTAATTCTTGCCAAAAATTATATTCCTTAGGATAATTTACAAATCTTGGCAAAGGGAATGTTAAGATTACAGGGATTTTATTTTCTACAAAATGTTTCTCATAAAATTTTTTAATATTTATAAGACGAGTTTCAAATAAATTATTCAAATTAGAATTAAAATTTGAAAAAATTTTGCTTATAACAATATCTACACTAGATAATGTAGTTAATTGATTATGAACACCGACATGATCAAGGTGTTTTACACTAGTTACTTTTGATAAAGTTTGTGCTAAATAGTATTTATCAAAAGCAATAAAATATGAAATTTCTGATATAAAGGCTTCCACAAATATCGAGTTTTCTTCTGTTAATTTTAAAATGAATCGAGAAATTATTCCAAATAATTGGATATTAGGTGTCGGATCTTTTTCGTTTTTGAAATTTAATTCAATACAACTTTTGCAGAAAATTTCCGCTAATTTGTAATCTCGAAACTCAACAATTGCATCCATAACATCGTATCCATAAATGGCTAAATAATATTCTTCTTTAGTATATATTTCCAATAGTTCTTTAAAATGTTCTTGATTACCAAAACTATAACCTCTCCTGTAAATAACTGATGTAATATATGGTGACGGAAGAAAATTATTTGTAAATATTACTTCCTCAAGAATATCTAATCTACCTCCTATTTCTGAATAATAGTAATTTAATTGAATTTTTTCTGTGTTAAATGTCCAGACATATACGTCTGTATCTGTAATCATGACTAAATCATCATTATGAAGACATTCACATTTTATAAATTCCAGACTTTCCCATATAACCAAATTAATTTCTCGTTCTTTCGGATCGCTTATCAGACCATTTAGAGGTTCTGCTTTAAGAAGTGCTTTATCTGAGTCTGAATCATAATTCAAAGTCCATTTAACTAAATATCCTGAAGTTATCCTAGGAAATTCAGTATCAATTGGAAATTTAGCATCATTGAGCATCTTATCAATTTCGTTTCCTCCAGAAGGTATAGTGATTCTATTGTAATCTTTTAGCTCTTCCCGTATGTATTTAATCCAATCTCTATTAACTAATTTTTTGATTAACAAATTGTTATTAATAAAACCTATAACTTTATCGACCTTATCAACTTCATCAAATGTTACAACGCACGGGTGCTGAAATTTAAAAGAACCAACTTCAAAAAGTTTATCAGCTGCAACAGGTTTTTCGTGTAGATATGGATCCCTTAATTCGTAATAAGTTTGATCTTTATCATGAGACATAACAAGTAAACGCTCTCCAAACCTGGATGCAATGATATCAAATGAATCGATCATTATTGATTCAGAATAAGCATCTAATAGTAATGATTATAAAAAGAAATTAATACATTAATACACCATAATATACCGCAATATATTTATAGAGCATTTTAATTTAAAACTTACAAGTTACTAATTTCATTCCATTATTAGCCAAATAAATAATTATATATGGACAAGATCCTCCTTTTTCCATGAGTTTTATTGCGTGTACTAATAATAATGATTCATCATAATTAAGCTTCGCAGCTTGAACTATATAAGCATTGCTCAAGAAAAAATGTACTTCAAATGATAGAGTTTTAATATCCCATTTTGTAATGGATCCTAATGCAGGATTACATATAAGCAATTTTTCTCTTGGTGTAATGATTACTTTTGTATCTGGAGAGTCTCCGAATGAAGTTGTTAGTTTGCAAGTCAATTTGAAAGAATTTCCTACTTTCTTTGTAACAAAGACATATACTCTTGATGAATAAGAATCGGTTATAATTAGATTTTCATTCTCAGTAAAAGCTGAATTATAAACCCAAATTGGTGAATCTGAAAGACCTTGTATAAGTTGTTTCTTGGTTTCAAAATCGAAAATTCCTAAAAAAAACAAATTTGCACATATATATTTTAGAAATGTATAAAAATCTCAATACAATATCCTTGATGTCTTTATAATCATTTTATCCTTCACCTTTTATAAACTTATTGTCGTAACTGAAGCTGGAAAAGGCTGAAATTTGGAATCGGAAATTTCTATTTAAAAATAATACCCCTAAATCCTAGTCTAATTATAAAAATGAAAAAGATGCACTCCAAAACTTTCCAACTTCAGCCACGACATTAATTTCATGATTCGATAATGATCTTTCTGTTAGCATTACCAACACATCAATTTTTCCTTGAAAATGTGTATATAAAGAAATCATAAAATTAAATCATGAAATTAAGTATTGTTAAACCTCCAAAAACCAATATGTATGAAGATATCATTTATATCGATATACGTAGCAAAAATGGATTTGATTAATTTTTTACGTATCAGATTTTGCTGATTATCAATTTGATAGATCGGTACGTTTTGATCTTATGATAAATTTATGATTCTTAAAAACAAGAAAAACATAACATACCAATTTTTGCTGATTCATCTTCACCTCCAAAAATTTGCATCAAAACAAGCTTATTGTCAGAAACAGTAAATAATTCATAATATTCACCATACCCATATAATTCAGGAGATTTATTATAGCAAATATCAACTTCGTCCTGTGATATCATGTATTCATGCTTTAACTGTCCATCATCAACAATACACCATCCAACAACAGAGCTATCTTCACTACTCCATGTGGCAATATATTTCATATTAGGTGAACTCACTATCTTTGTTACTGATTTGCCATTGTGTGGAGTATCTTCTGCAATATGGATACGTTGTTCTGAAGAAGTCTCCATTTTTGATCACCATACAATTTTAATTTCAGGAATGAAAAAAGGCGTAAATTTTTAAGTTGACCATTAAATTTTTGAAAAATTTTTATAAGCCATGTTTTAGATGTAAATAATGGTGTGAAAAAAATTTTAAAGCCTAATGTTTTGCGTAACTTTATTTGCTTCTTAAAGGTTATGAATAAGTATTACGATTAACATTTAATTTATTGTTTTCTTAAATATGAGTACCCCGAAGTATGGTATTTAACACAATAAATAATAACAATTATATCATCAAATAAAGCTCTAAAATTGCCACATTTCGGATATGTAAAATGATCTGTACTTATCGCTAAAATCTTCAAATAAAACCGGACAAAGTCATATCAAAGTCATATATTTTTGATTGTTTAATTAAAAATTCAAGCATTAAAGATAAAATTAACTCTCGATATTCATTGTTAGTGTTTCGATGTGGTTTAGCCATTTGTTTTTTTGGATTTTATTTTTTGTTTCTTTGGGCTGATCTGTGTAATTTGACATATAAGTACATCACTGGTTATGATATAAGCCTCATTCAACTTAGTTTGTTAAGGCTTATCGATATCGATATAGCAAGATCAATTTCAGATCTGGTACAAGATGATTATTGACTAATTATTTATACAAATCAGCCCAGCGAAGCAAAAAAACAAAAACAAAAAAAAAAAAACACGAGAAATGCAAGAAACGAAAGTACATCAAGAAAGTGGATATCAATTTTATAATTTACCTAACAAATTCATATATGTCCGTGGTGCAAGTTATGTCATAATGCAATTTTGCTCATATATTTAATAATTAGAGAGTTAGTTATTTGGTGTAAAAGGAATATTTGGGGTAGAGAATTTTAAAATTATCAGATAGGCGGCATCCACAATTTACGTTAAACCAGTATTGTCATAGGGATCTTAAAGATAATACAAACATAATACTATATGGCATTCCCTATTTTTATACAATACAATATACAATAATAGTTTAACGTAAATTGTGGATGCCGCCATAGAAAAAAAAGTATTATTCACAAATGCAATTAAAAAATACTTATACAATAAATTTAATTACAATTAACAACATACTACATGCGAAAAGGTCAGGTTATGCTAAAATTTATTAGAGAATTTTTTATTACTTAAACAAGAAAACATGAAAAATGGCTTAATAAATTATAGTTTATGGAAGAACGCCATTTAAAGCAAATCTATTAATTCTACTGTACCAATTCCTTTCTGAGTAATTAAGTCGCGAACTTCTTGAACCGATATAAAGTTAATCAAATGGTTACAAATCAAAAAGCAATCCATTTTAATACGTGTGAAGCAGGTACACGGAATTTATTAGCTGTCCGATACGAAAGTATCGGAACAGCTTTTGTCTCGAATCGACGGAGTGTAATTATTTAATTGAATAATGGTATCGTGATTGATTGCTTGATTTGTATGGCACGATCAGGGACACGGAAATTATGCGATTTTGTTTTAGTGCGATTCTTGACAAATTACATCAAATCATGTAATTACTAATTGTTATATATTAATTTGCGTGTAAACTGATAGTTCTCGACGAACTTTAAGTTACACAAATCATCACTAAATCACATAAATTCCGTGTCCCTGGACAAACAGGAGGAACCGTCGATGTTACACAACTGATCTTTACCCGGTGTGCAACATATAAAAAAATCATTTTAAAATACCAGATCATTCCGCTAGTACATGTTATGATTATAATCCCACACCATTTTTATTATAATAAAATGGTGTGGGAT